TATATTTTAGCTGATGCAATGCCCCGAACGTATTTAATTTACTCCGATAATAGAGACGAGGAAAGGGTCAATCCATCTCTAATGGATTTAGTAAATAGCTGCCAGTAAAAACATCTAATTGTGGTTTTCTAGCCGTGTTTTAATAGTAATCACGTTGTCTGGGGATCCGAGACCCAGCTATGTGATTATTTTTTGCATGTAATCGAAAGCTGATAGAAAGTCGTTTGGCTGATGGCATCATTTTTTGGCAATTTTTTTTTACTTTTTTCACAAAATTTTTCAGAAAATTTTGGTCAGCAGGTTCGAGTCATAAACCAATCCAAAAAACTAGTCCAGTACCTCTTTGTCTATGTTCCGATTTCACTGATTAATATTCCGTTCACATGTATCCAAAAAATTTTGGTATCGAGAAAAAAATGTCAAATCAGTTTGTCTATGTACCGACTGTAAGATATTTCAGTTCAACGGAACTGTCCAAAATTTTTTTGGTATTGAGAAAAATTACCGGGGGCTAGCTCGCGGGAAAATTTCTAGCATATATGACATCGTATATAGATTTAAAGCACGAATGGATAGTTTTAAAAGTTTTGGAAACGTCTTACAGTTTTTAATTGGAGATTGGGCGTCACCGGTTTCGGTTTGTTAGATTTTTGGTCAGCCGCAGAGGATTTGTCCAGCAATCACTTCTCAAACTCACACAAAACGTCTGTAGTTGACCCCTTGTCTGATGATCTGGATACCAAAAATCTGGGTTGGAGTCGGCAGCTGCGGACACTCTCTCCGGTTCTTTCTTCTTCGGCTGTGTCACTGGATTGGCACACCGTTGTATCTGGCTAGGTCTGGGAAGGTTTTAGGCCGATTTGAATCGTTCAGCTCTCCGATCGCTTATCCGACTGCTTCTGGTAATGATTGCACGTCACTGATTCCAAATTACGTAGCCTATTTTCTGAATCGCACAATTCCTCAGTTCTAAAATTGGCTCCTGACCATTCTGACTATTTCTGGAATAAACTCCTAATGTATCTCGTTTTTCTTTTTGTAACCTACGTGGTTTATAACTTCTAGTTGCAATAACAACCGCTTTCGAAGTTCTTTGTCGAAGGTAATGTTTGCGTTATGCTTCCTGAAGAAGAATTGAATTACTCAACTATGTAGTTTACTAAAAACGCTGGCTTGGTTTTGAAGCTAGTTTTGAGTTGCAAACGTCTTTCTTGATCAGGACACTTATCGTTATCAAACAATCAGGGCACTAACTATCTCTCTGTGGGCGCCAAAATATGCTCGCTAATCTCCAAAACTGATCCCAATTCGTTAAATTAATAAGAGATATTTTTCGGTAAATAACTCAAGCAAATAGATAAATTTCGGCATTCTCTATCGATCAAAAACATCATATAACTTTTTATCATCTGTTCGCTTTTGGCACAAATCGGCGCAAGCTAGCCACAAGAACCGGTCGGTAGTGTCCTTGAGACAAATTGCTTTTTGGCGGTCAGTCTTAATCAAGGCTGAACCGAATTAGAACCAAAAAACAGTTAAAATAGGATGTAACCCCCGTTTTTAGTATATTAATACATGGGCAGGTGGGGGACTCGAACCTACGTCGACTGTGATGTAACGTTACTTTGTCTTAGTTCGCTTGGCCAAATGTGCTTATTTTATATGCATCTATACTCTACATTTGCATTGCAACATGAACGTAAAAATTGACCGAAATAGGTGAGGACTGAGCTTTAAGTGTCGCCTGTGCGGACAATCCTGGATATTAAGAGCATCCCTGAAAATTTTCTTCGCTTGGCGACCACTCAAATATTTTGATAACCATCTATTTAAGCTAAACGGTTCGCCGGTGTCATGAACGAGATCCAGGAGAGATCTCCTGCGACTCAGTAAAAAAATATATGAGAGCGTAAAAGTGATAGAACACATGGAAAAAAAAACAAAAACTGGAAACAAATTTGTGTTAGCGTATAAAGACCGCGTATAAAATCAGTGTGATTAACACAAAATAAGCGGAGCTTTGTACCACTTCCGATACGATACAAACGAAGCAATGCAAGCCAGCAGATAAAAAGAATCACTGACTCATTAAAGAACTAATACATCTTCGAAAAAAAACAACTAAGAATTTTATGGAATGTTCAAAATGAGAAAAATCCGTCAAACCACAGTCACTTGCGTTAAATAATTATTCAAAAACATTCTAAAGTAGCAAAAAAGGGGAAAAATTTCGTTAAACTTAAGGTGACCCTAAAACAAAATAGTCGTCATGAAAAAACTCCTAAATCACACAATACAAACAAAAAAAAACGAAAAAATTGAGGCCAATAACAACTTTTAACTTTAAAAAAATTAAAGAAATTGGAGTTAGTAAACTTACAACTAAGAGCGATGAAACATAGCCAACAGACAGATGGAGAAGAGTCAATAAACGCAAGTAAACAAAAAAAAAACCAACAGCCCAATTTCAAAGAAAAAAATAGATGCGCTAAGGCTCCTAAAACTTCTAAAATTTCCAAATAAAAAATTTGTACTGAACACTTATTTACTAGTTAGGTTAGAAAAAAAAGAAAGTTCGTAATAATACACTTAGCTGATGGCTAGTGTAAAAACTGAATCAAGAAGCATGTTTTTAAATACAAACGAAAAATCAAACAGCGAAGAAGTAAATTTGAGCCTGGACAAAAATTATGCCTTTTCCTGAAAAGAAATCATCACGACCTACATAAGAGTCTGAACTACGTTTATTGGCTCCTAATGAAAAAAATTTTCAACAAAAAATCACCTACTGCACAAACCGTGATGAGTCGAATTCGCCGACAAAACAAGCAGAAAAACATTAGGACGACAAGTTTTTTAAGCTGAAAACTTCCCCGTTTGAAACACAAACAGGTCCTAGACATACTAGAACTTAAATTCTTTGAAATTTCCAGCCGGAGAAACTAAAAAATTTGATACGCCGAGCTACCAAATGATTCCGTTAACCAAGTTGGAACCGTTAAACAAGCTGAAAAAGCCTATACCCTACTTGATAGCGCTTGCTAATCGTATGCGTAATAAACACTTATAAACCCGAATTTTGATTCTTCTGTCAAAAAAGCGTGCTTTGAAAGCAATCAAAAATGAAACCTCTAGAAAAATGAGCCAGAAAAATGAGAAAAAAACTGAATTAAACACAATCTCAAAATAAGCTTCGCGCTGCTGAGGAATTGAACACAATCTCAAAATAAGCTTCGCGCTCCTGAGGAGCTCTATATTATGTATAAGGGGTGCAGATCGCTGCGCAAAGTTCAATTTATCGACAGCTCCATTAGCGCTATTGTAGAGGAAGGACGGCTAAGATAAATTAACATTACGAGATGCATTTAATGCTGATTTATGACTTCATTGATAAAATGATACAGCTTGCTGATGTATATGCATTTTTATAACGCTGGTATGGCCCTATCCAGCTTGTGTACTTACCGCAACTAAACGGAAGGTCTTCTTTGAGAATTTAGTTTTTTTTGAAATCTCATACGTGGAAACTGACTTCATTCATGAAAAATAAAACATTAAAAAATAAATGTCTACTACTCTGAGAGAAAAATAACACCACTGTTAACTCTAGAAGCGGTGGTCTCTAACACTCATAGACAAGAATTTGGTGCCATTTACCCGGATGGCACAGTCGAAGTTTCCGACAAACGCCGAGAACGACATTAAAGGCGTTGTTATCGCCGTTGCGGTGAAAAGGAGGCCCAGAATTTTCGATTTGGACTGGAACATTTCTGAGAAATGCCAAAAACGGCCATTTTGTCCAGAAGTATACGAAAAAAGAGAACAACCGATTGCAAGACAGAAAATAGTCGGGAAAAAATAGACAAAGCGAGAGTGCAAAGCTTCTTATCGTGACCACGATAAGGTGCCTACTGGAAGAAGATTGTGGAAACGGAAGGTCTAATGGGACATTTAGGATTGCACCGAAACGTCCAGTGCAACAAAATTGGAGAGATAACGACGTTATCTCCGGGAGAGTACGGAGTCAGATGCCTGGTGCCCAGGGACTGTTAGAAAAAAATACCTATATATTTTAGCTGATGCAATGCCCCGAACGTATTTAATTTACTCCGATAATAGAGACGAGGAAAGGGTCAATCCATCTCTAATGGATTTAGTAAATAGCTGCCAGTAAAAACATCTAATTGTGGTTTTCTAGCCGTGTTTTAATAGTAATCACGTTGTCTGGGGATCCGAGACCCAGCTATGTGATTATTTTTTGCATGTAATCGAAAGCTGATAGAAAGTCGTTTGGCTGATGGCAACATAGTTTTTAGCCCTTAACAGACCAGAAAAACAACTGGATAGGTCAAGACTGTTAAAAACGAGTAGGATTAAGGTAACTGACGACTGCCAGTCGTCAATAGGTACTTTTTTAACGGTCCATCACTGTGTAATGTCTGGGCGAATGTTGAACTTGCGTTTGCAAAAGATCCCTTGCTTGTGACATTTGACGTACCAGGCATGTATAGTACAATTGCAGACGAAACTGCTCGAGTTGATTCCTTAAATCACAACTTAACACATGATCCAAAGATTCTGTTCATCAACTTTTTATCAGGAATATTCTACATTACAAGTTGAAAAGACATTCGAATCGCATGCAGAAATAGAAGAGTTATTAGCCATTTGATAGCGCCTGCTAAAAGCCAGCGCTGCTCATACCATAAACCTTCCTTCTTCACATTTGTCAAAAGGTTACTTCTAATTGATCAAATATAGCCAATAGAAGTAACCAGTGTTAATGAACTCAAGAAAAATACAAACAACAATTAACATCGGCATAAAAATCTAATACAAGAATCATTAACGATTGACACTTTGATGAAACTAACCCAATTAGAAAATGGATAAATATATATTATTTATTTAGCTGCGAAAACGCAAGCAGTTTTCGAGCACAAAGAGGGACAATCGCATATATAACCTATATAAAGAAACAAAATCTATTAATTTCTCACCTTTGCTCTGTTTCTAATTTTTCGCTATTTGATTCGAATCCAGAGTTAGTTTCCGATTTTCTCTCTCCAGTTTTCTTCCTCGTTTTCGTTTTACCAACCGTTGACTTCATCAAATTAGATTCGGCAAATGTGTCTTTTTCTTTTCTCAGTGAAGTGCCTTCCTTGATTTTCTCTAACTGCAAAAAAAAAACAATCAGGAAATCCACAATTTTTTTTGCACATTTAGATATTATGAAGACATTAAAGGGCTTACCATTTCTATTTCTTCGTTGTTTTTCCTCTTTCCCCTAAAAACATTGGCGAAAACTAAGTTTAAATGGCATAAAATAACCCACGCAAAATCTATGGAAAACTAACGTGAGAGAAGACTGATAGGTTGAGCGAAGGGCATCAGCGACATCGCCATCCTCCGAAGGAGCCATACCAAAATTTATTCAAGATACAAGCTCATCCGTTCTGTAAACCACACGAGCAACATGTAATTAACTTTGACAGGGTTGAAGCGGAGCTACGCAATGTAACAGTCGTTCGCTTATGTCAGTCTATAGCCATTGGCACAAGGGCCAGAGACCTTTCGCGCTTTTCATCTCAATCGGTCCGAGCAAATTAACGGTTTAACTAGAAATAGAAGTCAAGATCATGTTTCTGGAACTCAAGATCAGGCCACTACCAAAATAACTCCCCACACTGGATGTTAAATGGAACGCCCCCATGTGCCAGTCGGTCATATTTGGAAGTTTGACCTTGAGGAAGTCTTGATTTTGGGGTGAAATGCAATTTTTCAAAAATTTGAATTGAGCATGTCATGCTCAAGTTTCTCGCGACAACTGAAAATATCAGAAAATAAGATCAGAAGATTCGAACTACAATCGCTGGAAAGTAGTCAAAAATAGCAGCGGGAAATTGCAGTTCGCAATTTCCAATACATTATTCGAACAAGAGTAGAGCTGTCTGATTCTTGGCAGAAGACAGAAAGTAATCACGAGTGGAAGGACAGTAAATTCAAGTGGACCGGAGTGAAATTTCAGTCAGTGGAAAGGTGGACAGCCGAAGTCTCCCAATGGTCCAGACCCAAAACTTATTTCTTGAGCTAATACTTAATCATTACAAACTTCTCGAGTTAAACTTAATTACCCAATTACTTCTGGAGTTACTTGTTAATTTAGTTACTCGATTCTAGAGGTCTTGTCGGTATGTGAGTACCCAATTAAACTTTCTTGAGTGTGTTTTATATTGTTATGTTGAGTTAGGGAGAGTTTTTAGGTTGATCCATTTCAGATTAGACTTGATCAATCACGACATCAAGACTGTGACATTCGACCAGAATGGCCAAAATGCAATTTATGCAGACTTCGAATTTTTAGCAGTAAGCCTTCCGGATTGATGATTATTAAGAATTAAGGACGTTTTTGGAACGATTGGCCAAACGGTGAGGGCTAGAATATTCTGGTATTTTAAAATTTCAAAAATTCGAATTATGACGTCATATTTCTGAGAAACGTCAGAAACGGCCATTTTGGCTAAAACGAGAAAGAAAAACAGAACAACATTAGCTGCGCTAACAACAACTACGAAATTGAGATCGGAAAAAGACAACGAGTTACAGAATAACAGAAGAACCCTCCGAGTTGCAACTATTGTGCTGCTACAATAGTTGCAAGGCCGTTGCGAGCAACGGTGAAGGGTGAAGGACAGCCTTCCGGATAAAGAGGAAATCAGGATAAGCGAGCTTGATCCAGCGGATTCATCAATCCGGAAGGGTAAAGGAACTGAAACTTTTATCCTGTTGCATAAACTTTTAGCTTCCTGTCATGTCCTGACTTGAATTTAATTAATATCTAGATTCATTTTGATAAGGATGAGAAGCTAGGAGTTGGGGGAAAGGGTTGATCCATCTTCGATGGAGATGATGATTTTTATCTACTGAACAAAAACAATAGTAATATAATAAATAGTAGTAGCCCTGTTTTTAGGAGTGACCTCGTGGTCTGGGGATACTGAGACCCAGCCATGAGCTCACTATTTCTGCATGTAATCTAGTTAATTTGAGTGTTTTGACCGAAGCCGAAAGCAGTAACGTTTTTGTCGACCCGATGTTGGAAAAGACCACCGAAAAGTACTGGCTTGGTAGATACGGTGAAAAGCATGCAAAGCTCTGTTTAGACGCTAGCCAGTCGTCTTAAGACCTAGTTTTGTTTTCCGTCGATATGTATCTTCCGGGCGAATGTTACATGTATGTTTTTATGGCGCTCCTGGGTGTTATTCTTTTTTAACATCATGACCGGCAGAACCGTTAAAGAGCACTCCGCGCCGAGCGGATGCTCACATTAACGCCCTTAATAGGCCTAAACCACCGGGGCGGAAGGGTAGTTCGGAACGCGGAAGCCTTCCGGATTACCGTGAACAGTTTTTTTAACCTAGTTAAGACCGAAATGTAACATTCGTCTACTGCAGTCACACATGAGGCTTAAGAAAAATAGGCCCTATAACCACTGGCTCAAGGGTCAGGGACACCATCTCTTGTGTTTTTCTACCTCAAGAACGGTCGGAGCCAGTTCGGTTCGCTTGTGACATGAGACTACGACCCGTTACAGCTTAAAGGCTACTACTAAAATATCCCCCCACTCTAGAATTAGAAACGTCCCCATACTTAGGTCTCTAGATACCCAAAATACATGAACGCCGTTAAAAACCGGGTTGGAACAATCCGTTGAGTTACTTTTTATTAGACAGTGGAACTTTGATCCATTTCAGATGGATCAACCTAAAACTCGCCTTACCTCAACATAACAATTATAAAACACACTCTAGGAATTTAAATTTGTACTCACATAGTAGCACGCTCAAGAAGTGGGAAATAATCCAGTCGGTAGTTAACTCAAGAATTAAATAACGTAACTAAATGAGTCTAATGTTTTATAGTTTTAACAATGAGAACGAGTTTATACTCTAGACAATAGTTTTCTTGTGAACCATTAGGACACTCAAGTTGTCCACCTTTCCACCGAAGGTTCACTCTAGTCCAGTTCCGAATAACACTCCAGTCGCTATAATCCAATTCGTGGGAATGCTCTCGTCTCTGTCACAGATGGGACAGCTCTACTCTCGATTATGATAGTGATGGAAATTGCGAATAGCAATTTCCTACTGCTTTTTCTTACAACTTTCCCGCGTGTGTCACTCAATCGTTCTGAAATTGTTCTGATTTCTTTTTTCTGATTTTCAGTTATCGCGAGAAAATCGTGCATGACAGGTTCCATTCGAAATTTTGAAAAATTAAATTTCACTCCAAAATCAAGTGTTTTTTGCTTCTCTCAAGGTCAAACTTCCAAATATGACCGACTGGCACATACTCCCCGGACTCGAGATCGATGTCCTCATCGCGCGCTGTCTTCTGCCAGTGAGTCCCAGAAAAACCGAGTGTTGCTCAAGATACAGTGCCAGTGGTCATTTACAGAAGTTTGCAGCAGATTTAAGCTTATCTACACCCCAAAATTCACAGCCATTTAAAATTTTCACACTATTGCTAAACAGCAACCAAAATCTGCATACACCTGCACCCTTGAATTTTCGCTTTTCAAGCCAATCATTTTAAAATCTCTTTTGTCCTATTCAATCAGGAAATTGTCATGCAGCATTTCGATTTATATAATAAATATAGTATATTAGTAACAATATTTGCTTTGTTAAAATTTCTTTTTCGTGAATCCAAGTTTCACTCGGATCCACGCTCAAGCCCCCCTTCCCTCTCAGGACTCAAGATCCATCGGATTTGCCCATTCATCTCGTACTCTTCGCCTTGGAGGTACTGCATCCTGAAGTGCTAGATGCGGCAAACTGTCTCAACAGTTCCTCTTCATCATCGGAACTAATCACAATCTCCTCCCAAGCCTTCAGCTGTTCATAGGATCGCATCCATTCTCTCTGCTCCTGCAACCTCTTTGCTTGGTTGGGTAGTGCCTTCACCCTAGCTTCTCGGTTCAAGCAAAAGGAGTTGTGCAGGCTCAAGCTCACGTTCTTCGCCAGGTCTTCCTCTAGTATCGACTCCCTCGCTTTGGTATTGTCTCTAGACATCTTACCCACTCTTTTCCATCCTGTCGTGATCGCATTACGATGGGTTAGCAGGGGTCTCTTGAAAGCTTCCGGCCCAATCTCGGCCTGGAACTGTCGATACTCTTTTTGATGTTTTCTCATGTGATCTTTCGTTGTCATGTACAACCAAGACGTCAGTGTCGCCCGAAACCATGGAAAGTACCTCAAGCGACTCCATACGTGCCTGACTTCCGTCGGTATGGCGAATACTTTGCACGCAGTCTCAAACAACTCGAGTCTCCTGCTGTAGTCTATCGCGTATATTGACTCAGCCGTTGGCGTCGTCGCCTCCCGATACTTCGTTATATTCTCTTCTATCCATCTCAGAGCTAACATCGTACTCACTACTAAGAGCGTCACCTTCTGCCGATGATCCGGTAGTCCGATCGACCGAATCTCTTCCACATCCCACACCAGGCAAAGGTTCTTGTGATCTGGATACCACACCGTTTGTGCCAAACAGTGGCATGGGCATTCCCCATGAGAGATCTCAATGCTCCTGAGATTACGCTCCCCTGAGGCTTCCAAGAGAGGCTCAAGCTCCATCATTTTCTCGTGCATCGTGTCGTTGTCTTCCAGGTTCGGAGTACTTCCCACAGGTTTTCCGATCACGTTTTGTCTCTCGTGATCGCTTGTGTTTTCTCTTTCCAACTTCAGAAGATCTTCTCCCCAGATTTCGCTTAAGTCATCTCTCAATTCTTTTGGTACTGTCCCTTTGATCTTTCTCAACAACTTGTGCGAGTGATGCGACATCCGAGCCAACCTCACGCACTTGGGCACTGAGAAGGCCTTGTCCACCAGTATTCTCTGGCTGGACACTTCCACCATCGCCATGTGTAGCGGGTAGTGACTTCCGCACAAGTTGGCCATCATTGACCCTATCAGCGATTTCGCGTTCAATGGCAAGCCATAAGCTTCGCTCATGGGAAATCCCATTTCCGCCTCAAGACCAACCTTCCAGCTCCGGATGTGTTTTTGAGTCACCTGCAACACCCCGGGCCATGATTCTACGCTCAACGCCGTCACTAAATGATGTTCAGATTCCAGTCTCTCCAGTGCCTGCAGACCACACATTCTCGAGAAGAATCCGAGAGCTGTCGCTATATTCACCGTGGTTCTCGCGTAACATTCCGCTATTATTTGCACTTCACTTTTCTCCCTTTCTGTGATGTCTTCGAACCAAGTGACCAGGTCTTCTTTTTGAAACGACAGTATTCTGACGCATGACCGTCCATCGCAGATGTGCTCTCCGTTCCCACACGTCGAATCCAGACAGCTACCCGGCTCCAATTTCTTTGCTGACCCGGGGTCGCTCGTCCTTTCGCTTGGCTCTTGCATCTGGGGCGTGATTAGCTTATGTAGCACA